CTCAACCAATGGAGAGTGTTAACACTGGGAGCCCCCCAACCACCCCCCCAAGCCTATGCGATCAATCAAAAGAGTTAGGAGGGAGGTCTGGGAATCTGCATTGTAACATGCATCCTTAGGGGGGTTTTCTTCTGTTTATTCTTAAACAACAGTTTAAGAATCCCAGAACTGCAGAGTTCTTAATAGTCTTTTTCAGGAAAATAAACACTTTTTATTGACTGATACTTGCCTTGCCTACAAAAACAGCAAAGAATTCTATTATTTTCTCTCTCTTTTCTTACACACTTGCCAGTAAAAGGTCCATTTATTTACTTATTTACTTACTTGTTTTTCTAGCCTCCATGCATCAATGAAACCATCGCAAGGTTATTTTCCTAACAAATTTAGGACTTTGCCTAGAATCAAGAACTGTAACAACGAAGCAGTCTGAAAGCTTTAGACCCTTAGACACCACAGCTGTAACAGTCCCTTTCTAAAATTACTAGTAAATTATAATAGTAAATCATAGTAACAGAAGGGGGTAGGGGATGAACTGGATAGAAAGTTAATTAGCCCTTAGATTCTCTTCCTGACACTCTCATACCTTCTAAGTGTGTAGCTTAGTGGAATTTACAAAGCTATTGGTATTTGCAAAATGCACTGTTAAACACAGAGCTCACTTTACTATGTCTCTTGTAAATAGAATCAGCCGGACAGAAGTAATATTGTGAAAAGAAAATAGAAATACTGGTGGAGAATACAGCTCCATCAAAAAAGGTGGACAGGGTCCAATCAAAACAATTTTGAAAAACTTTGAGGTTCATTTGTTTCTTTAAAGTCATTCTGATAAATTTTACATCACAATACTGAAATCACCATATGTAATTTTACACTTAGCATCTAACTTATCGATAAGAATTTAGTATATAAAAATATTTATTAAATTGAATGTTCAGAAATAGTATTCTCACACATCTTCCAGAAATCTTTATTTTTTAACAGAAATACTAATTACAGATAAATTTTTTTTGGGTTTTTTTATACCCCCTGCCAGGACATCTCTTTAAGAAAAATTAGCTGTAAGAGAAACCTTGGGAGTAGTTTAGAATGATTAACTGTAAAATAATAACAATGCATAGCTACTAACGATAATTATAACAGATACATATATTATCTCTACTTGCATATGTTATTTTCTTTTTTTTAACCTGTGCATTATATCAGCTCTAAAGAAATACAAGTATTAAATAGTGTGTTATAACTATGATTTTACATACGACTACAGGTTTTATGTCCTTTATGAACAGGGAAACATGAAATGATAAATATTTTCTCAAATAGATGAATAATATTCTCTTATATTTTTACTCTCTGTGAATACTTACACATGTAGGGTCTTGTCTAAGATGTGATTGGCCTAGAATTTCCCAGTAATATATTTCTAACAACCTGGTGACTTTCAACTTCGATGGGGGGAGAACTACATACACATAAAGGGAGGACCTACATCCTGGGTCCCAGTTCTCATTTTAATTGTAATTTATGAAGAAATAAATTCTTCTGTGAGCAAGGCATTGTGTAGAAGGCTAAGCAGAAAAAGAGAATTTTCACCCTGGACGAGGCTGTAACGTAGCGAGCCGCAGAGGTGCACAACACAAGACAACTGAGCCTGGAGAACGAAGCTTCTGGAGAGAACACTACGGGGTGCTACTCCTCCGCGGGATGCTACTCCTCGGGCGTCTTCCCCAGGACGCACTTCCGCGGGAGCGCCACCAGGGGGCAGCAGAAGAGCGGGATTGGCCCGCCGGCGCCCGCGGTCCCCCGGGCTCTCCGCGTCCCCGCCGTGGCCTTCCCCCTCACCTCGCTGACGGAGCCCCAGGGGCCCTGCCCCTAACTGCGCGGGAACCACACAGCGAACCCACGCAGCCATCCAGTGTGAGGCTCTGCGCCCCCGCGAGTCGCCGCGGCCGCGCCAGCGTGCTGAGCACGAGAGATGCTCCAAGCCCCGCAAAGGGCTGCGTGGGAAAAGCCGTCCGGGCTCAAGTCTGATTAGGACGGGGGTCCCCGGGCCCTTTGATCTGCGCTCTTCAAGGCGAGTCCCTAAACAGGCTTCGTTCCCCAGCACGGCGCTGGCGTGAGCAGCCTGCGGGCACCCAGGCACGTGCGGGGGACTCGGGGCTCCCTCTGAGCTCCCTCCGAGCTGGGCCTCCCGCTGGGTGCCCTGGGAGCCGGGGCGCCCTCGGAGCGGAGGCCCCACTGCTAGGGCTCCCGCTGGCCTTGCACGTGGCACACGGGGAGCTCCAGGGTCCCTCTGGTTTTGTGACCCAAGGATGGTGGAGAGCCCTGCACGCATCACGCGTCCCTTCTCTCGCCAGCCAGGAGTGCGGGGTTCTGCTGCTGGCCTGCATCCCGGGTCCCTCCCGCCCACGCTGAGACGGGGTCTTGGGACACATTGTGCTTTCCAGGCCCCGCTTCCTATATTCCACCTGAGGGTCCCCTCGACGCTCCCCAAGCGTGAGATTCGGTGACGGGTGGGGAAATGCATTCGGCTCCCAAACAGGACAGTGTTGTGAAGGGAAAGAACTTTCTCAAGCTCTATGGCTTGCTCTCCGTGTAGGTGTGTGTGAGGGTCGTACTCAAGGTTAACCGGGGTGAACTGCTCCTGTCATTCACGTTCGTCGTTTGGACTGTTCCGTATTCGCGGCATTTTCTCCATGAACGTCGGACAAAATTTAGAAATGTATGTGTAGATCACCATCTTTAAAAGAAAAAAAAAAAATCCCCTGGTTCAGGTATTCACCTATCTTCAGAGACGTCAAACTCTGAAAAAAAACTTACATGTTTTCTTCAAAATCAAAATACAGCATTGATGTCCTTGATGAGGCCTCTTACAGGATATTCTTATTTAATCAGAATGCAAAAGGCCTCGTCCTAGCAATGATTTTTCTTTTTTTTTTAAGCGAGAGACGGGCTTGCCTAGTCAGAAGGGGCCTCTCCACCGCCCCCCTCATGTCATTTTATAACTGAAAGACCACCACCAACGCTAGAATTAAATGGTTTGACCGAGCCCCCGGGATTGACCAGGCAGCTGCAGGCGTCACAGAAGCCCCCAGTGCACAGCGCCGGACTCCTGACACCCCAACGAGATACCTTTCTTGCGTTCTGTACGCGGTGATCCTTGGAGAGGATAGGAACTCAGACATGAAGGAAAATGGTATTTCTCTAGATCCGGAGTCTGTTTTCAAAAGGATCCTGTATCCTGCTTTCTGCTGCCATTGGCCAGTCTTCATGGTTGTGAATGTCAAATCCTTTAGCAGGATGCTAGGGTGGCCGTTTTGCAATCTCTGTAACCACACCACAGACCTTTTTCAGTGTCAGGACGTCAGGAAAGATCTTCTCTGGTTTTCCGTTAAAAGTTTCTGGGTTCTGGGCTCTATTGTCAGCCAGGTTGTTTATGTCTTGCTCCTGTAAAGCACATCTTCTGAGCTGGGATGGAAAGCGACCTGGGGGACTGATTTTTCTGGGTGGGCCATCTCCACTGACCACATCAACATAACTGTTGTCAAATCTCACCTTCTCTTTGCACTGAGGAGTGCAGAAAAGCCTAATCCAGCCTCTGGGGAGTGGGGGTGGGGGGGTCCGAACCTGGGCCTGGTCTAAAACCCCTTTAACGTCATGAATAGCATTAACACCAAAATCTTTTAAAGGCCGATAAGAAAGTCATAACTTTTTTCCCCCTAAACTCGGGAATGAGGAATTCCTTCTAAATTTAGGATCGGTACCAACAAAAGAGTTGACAACATTCGCCACAAGCAATGACATTTATTTAATGTTTTCCTAGTAAAGTAAAATTTAATGGTAAGAATGGAAGAAAGAGAAGGGAAGGAGGGAAGGAGACAGGGAGTGAATTCAATGCGCAGCAATCACAGAAGCAGCTCACAGAAAGATGGAAAACTCATCTGCCAATAGCATGGTGTTTTTGCAGTGTATCTGTCTGTCCTTCTGGCTCAGATGATGAGGTAAAAATGCCGCACTTGTAACGTGAGGGATCGCACGTACCATCTTGCCATTGGTGACTTCGGAGGTTTAATTCCACATTGGTAAACACATTCTACCTATTCAAAAAATCTTGGGCCACCTGGGCGGCTCAGTCAGTTGAGTCTCCCAACTTCGACTCAGGTCATGATCTCGCGGTCTATGAGTTCATGGCCGCATCGGGCTCTGTGCTGACAGCTCGGAGCCTGGAGCCTGCTTTGGATTGTGTCTCCCTCTCTCTCTGCCCCTCCCCCACTCATGCTCTCTCTCTCTCCCCCTCCCCCCCTCTCAAAAATAAACATTAAAAAAATTTTTTTTAAATCTTGCACAAAAGGTTAAACCTATTGCATTAATTATGGAAATATTGAAAAGATGAAATAGGAGGCAGGGATCCCTAAAGAATGAAATGACCTTTTTCTGTCTTCCCGATGACCTTGTAGGTGACCAAACAGAACCTGTTCTGGAAAAACCTTTACCCCCATTCCCATATAATCATTTTTGTTTCTCCAACTACTCCCAGACTGAAGGCTTCCGAGGACAAGGAGAGTGCCTTTAATAGTTTGGGGGTGTATTCTCCAAGGTAGTAGGATAGCATTTTGCATACAGTGGGCATTCACTGAATGTTAATTGGCTGCTGATGGAACCATGAACCTCGCTTTACCCCCTTACCCATCCTGTTCTTTTGTGGCCAGGGAACAAACTCAATCACGGAAGGGGTTTTCAGATGGAAACTCCATTGAAAAAAGTAAATTTTCCCATTGGGAATGAAGAGTTGGCTTTACACATCCTGGGTTCTCTCTAAATTTACTTGAAAAAAAAAAAAAGTAAATGATGCCATTGGGAAGGAAGAGTAGGCTTGCCACGTACTGGGTTTCTCTTCTGTGTAACTTGTGAGCTTACCACCCCTCCCCCGACTCAATTACTTGAAGATAGAGAACTTGAGCACTCAACTTTGATTGAGCAGCACCAAGTACCCGGCTTAGCACATGGTAGAAACTCACATATTCACCAACTTATTAGCTTTCGGATCAGGAGGACAGGAGCAGCATGGTAAGTAAGGAAGGAGACAGACCCCTCCCCCCACCTTAAAAATCCCCTAGCTCAACACAGTAGATTCTGTCCAAGCTCCATCGATACTAAACCGCAACAGACATACATATCCAGGGATTGAGATTGAATTTATAAACACGCCTTTTTGTTAAGGGTTCTCTTTTGTTAATTTAACTGGTGCTCTTGTTTCTGAGCCAGACAATAGTTTCATTTGTGAATCCAAGCTCTTAATGAACTAAATTTGTGAAATGCGTACCACGTCTTTCAAAGAGAGGAAGAGAGATTGGTCAGAAGTGTGGCACAGCACATTTTTAGAAATATTTAAGTAGGACAACAGGACTAAGAAGTATTTTCACCCTCCCCAAGGTCAGGGGATTCTTTCTCCACATCTCAGCATCGTAAGAAGTTAGCAGAGTAGAGATTTTCTACTACACCAAGGTGCTCGACACCTCAATTACTGACATTAGTATCAATATTTTGCAAGTGACAATATGGCGCCTAAAGTCCCCCACAGCCTTACCCTGTTATTTTATAATACCTCTCCATCCATATCAACTTCATGTCAACTGAAGATACGGCCCTTTCTGCCTAAGAGAGACCTGGCTTACTGCTTATTCTCCATAAAAGGTATATAGACTCGATTCTTAGGCTCATTAAAAAAAAAAAAAAGAAAAATACAACGAATATAAACAGCTTCCCCTTTGTTTCCAAATTCCAGTTTGTGCCAAAAACTTCTAAAGTTGTAGCCAAGCCTAGATCATTGTACGTGTCCATAACAAGATCTTTTTAAAAATATGTGGGATTTGGTCCATATTAGAATTTCAAGAAGCAATTACCAGTAAACCAGAGGAAATTTCACGGGATAGATGGAATTTGGGATGGGAGGGATATCGGTTTAATTAGAGGCATTAGTAAAGGGTTGTTTGGAAGATGCTCTTAATATGACCTCTGAAACCCAAGCAATGAGAACACAGACCATTACAGACTTTTTTTTTTAACCCCTCCCCCTCTTAACTTTGGGATTACACCTACTTCAAGGCTCTCACCGGCTGTACTTGGTGGAGATGGGGGGGGGGTCATGAATACAGGTCAGTGTGTGTGGAGTAAGAAATACCTTAGAGGTTAGGGTGCACAAAATTAGGATGTCCTAATCTTGCTCGTTCAACAGCGATTATTCAATCATCTCTTCCTTTTATTAACTTGCATAACAGGTGTCTATTTTCTGACACTGATAACATCAACCTACTATAAAAATAGTGGGGGGCACTTTATTTTTTATTACTACTCTGATGATAATAGTCTCCTGAATGTTTATATCATTGCATCCGCACCCCCCAAAGAGCAATAACCCGGAGGGTACCCCAATGCCAGCGCACCAAGCTTCCAACAGGTTTTTGTTTAATAAGTGGTTTTCGAATGCGTAAGCAGCACAATCTTCTTCACCCTGGCGGCTCTTCGTTTTTTTTGAACCCTGATCCACACGACGGCCGACTCACGTTCAGGTTCACTTTTCCCCTTCCCGCAGCTCGTCTTATCTCCCTTGGCGGGGTACCCGTCTGGTCCCGGCTTGTCCGACCTGGGAGCAGACCCGGGCCTTCCCGGGCTCCGCGACCCGGAGTACTAATGAGGAAGTCGGGCGCTGAGCCCCGAGGCTGTCTTATCTGCCCGGGTCAACCACCACCGAGAAGGGCGGGCAGCGAAGGACCACCGAGCCAGCCCCCGGGCTCTGACCGTTGGCGCTCTGACCACTTTGATGTCCCGCGCCTGCCTAATCAAGTTCATCTCCTGGCCGCGGCCGCTCGCATCCAGAGAGAAGCATTCAACAGTCTGATTATCGGACACATCCCTCCACCCCGATCTCATTTCCAAACGCGTCTCTCGCCTCCCTCTCTAAACTTCCCATCAAAAGAGAATTAGTCCCTCTTCCTCCTTACCCGCGTTTGATGTGCAAATTTCCTGCTCTTTGCACATTTTTCTCGCGGTGGCGGCGGGAGGAGGG